TTTTAGATAAGCCATGTCATTATCAGTGGGGAAGGCATTATAATGTGAATACTCCCACTGTTCAGGTGAGGTAAGCAGGTCACAAAGAAGCTAAATAATTTGCCCAAGATCATGTATCCCCTTGGTTACTTGAATCTATGTGGTTTGATGCTCTTTCACTGTAACATTGCCACAGTAATGAGATGTACTTAGATTCAGCTAGCATTTATTAAACAACCACCATGGGTTGAACACTGTGCTAGGCTCATTCACATGCAGTAATTATTCATTGATTGGTCTTCCAGTCCACTACCTGGGCTGTCACTGCATCAGCCTCCAAGTCTAGTTAAAGGTTATATAAAATAGTAAGTAAGAGTAATCCCTTTGCCTCTTTTCTCCAGATACTCTTAGTAGCTTAGCCCAGGCTAACCATTTTACAAAAGGGTGTTCTGTCACCTAAAGGACAAGGCAAGAAAGAGAAAGTAGATTAAGGCTGAAAAACACAACTCTCAGAGTCCCTGAACCAATGATGGAAGGTCAGCAGAATCCTTGTTCTCTAGGTTGGATGCATTTTCTAATGCCATCCTATTTCTGCTGTGGTTTGCCTCACATTTCTGAGGTGCCTTCTAGAGAGTAAGGAACAAGGAAGCAGTTGAGAAAGGAAGGAAAATTTTTCTCTCACTGGGGTCCATTAGGAATACAGGACTGACTTTCTCTTAACCCTTTGAGCCTCACACCCTCCATATCAACATCAATTTGAATTTATTGCCAAAGTCATGTTTGAGAACCTCTCATCCTGGACCAAGAGATTCCTGGGCCAATGTCAGAGCAGGGTAAGAAAAGTAGTAAGTTATAAAATTATTCAGGAAGCAAGTAAGTTTTATTTTATTTGTTTGTAGATGGTGCAACCTAAGTACACATCAGGCAAAGGATGTGCTGGATGAAGGCAAGCTGGAAAGGGGTTGGGAGGGATTGGATGGGTGCTTCGTTTCTGAGGTCCGGGTTCTAACCCAAGGCTTCAGCAGACCCGGAAAAGATCAGCAGATGAATTTCCTCTTCACTGTCACCAGAAGTGGTAAGACTTTTCAGTAGGACTTGGTTAGAGAAGAAAACCCCAAAGGATCAAAAATGAAAGCTACTGCAATTTTTTCCTACAGATGGGACTGTTTGCTTGATGATGGAAGATGACCAACAGCGTTCTCAGTCTGGTCTCTGAGTTACTTCTCACATCTTCCTGCCAGGCTGGCTTCATGGGTGTGCAATGTGTACAGTCACCTTTGGCCCTGTGCTCGGGAGCATCTAGTTTTTGGTTTAAAACTCCACTGTTATTGTCTTGAGATTCTTAAAATTTTTATCTTTGTACTTATGTACAGGATTCCAGTGGGAGCTCGGTGAGATTCAAAGCAAGTCCAGAGTAAGTCTGAGTAAGTGGGGGGCACTGACAGTACCAGAGCATGCTTCAGAGGCAGGAAGAAGGCAGTGGGGTTCTCTGAAACACTAATGACCAAGGAACCCTGTCATATCATGACCGAGGAACCTTACTCATGATCCTTCCCTGTATTTGCTAACCACCTGTGCTGAAAACGACGACATAGAAGGAAAAGGAAGGATCGAGAGCAACTCCCAAGTTCCTTTTCCTCTCAGTCCTTTCTTACTCATCAGCAAGCTGAAGTCAGAGTGCTGGCAGAACATCTGCATGTAAGAAGTGAAATTAGAGCACTTGAGTTCACTTTGTTCAATGTTCCCATTGTTTGGTAAGAACGAAATACATATGGCATGTACAACCTATGAAATATGAATTCTGTGATTTTGGTGATTCTGCAAATGATGAGATGTCTTATATTTGCATTTAAAACTACCATTGCACAGTATAAAGATGGATGGTAAAATTCATGTTAATAATTTCAAATTTTTATTTTTATTTAGCATATAAAACAGTAAATAAAAAACATTACAAGCTGAGTGATTCAAGGAAAAAAGATGTATATTCTAGACCTTTAACAGCACCTTTTTCCTGCTTTTTGAACAAGGGGCCCTAATTTTCATTATACTGGGCCCTGTGACTTATGTAGCTGGTCCTGCTCCTGCCCCTATTTTTCTTTTGAGAAACAGAGGTGAAGCACCAGGGCTTATCCAAGGTGATGAAGGGAAAAGCTCGACTTCATTCTTCTTGTAAGTGGGTAGACCTCTGCCCGCAGTGACACTGTCCAGCGCCGAGTGAAGGGGGAACTGACACTCCTGAATGAGTATGAGGAAACCCAGGGCAAATTCAGGTTCACCACATACACTCAGGGACGTCAGACCCACCCCTTAGCTGCATGTGGCCTTTCTCCACTGGCATCTTCAGACTTGACAGAAGGTGAAGATGCTCCGCTCTTTTGTGGGTTGCTTGTAAGCTCATAGATGGAGAGAACTCTGCACACACACACGCATACACACGAGTTGTGTTGTGGTCTTGGCACATGTATGTGTGTGTACATCCCACATATGTGTTTGCATGTGATGTGTGCTTGGGCACCTGGTAGAACCTGAGAGAGGTGGTCTTTTCATGGATCTTGAGGGGCTTTCTGATGGACAGGGAACACCTTTAGAGCGAGGGTGAAAACAGTGTCCTTCTAGAATTTGGTCCTCAGGGGACCACAGCTAAAAGTAGAGAACACTGATGAGTTTGAGGGAGTTTGAGGACACATTGCTGTATTTCCAAGACACAAGCTGTATTTTCTTTTCCCCATTCTCCTCTCCTTTTATATCAAAAGGAGACAAACACTTGTTGACTTAGGTAAAGAAAAGAAACAATTTCCTTTTGAGAGGAATGACACAAGTGACCCTACTGTCTCCTAGGTTGTGAAGGACTATCTCCCTTCCACCAATAGACAAAAAATGAGGGGGCATTCCCTGAATTAGGACCTTAAATGATGTGGAGAGTGATGTCAGGCATGCTAGCCTGGTTTCACTCTCCACTAGCAGGTCCATAATGATGAAGTCCCATCCACTCTGATTTCTTTAGTTGAACAATGCTTCATACTAACAGCAAGCTTAGTGCCAGTCGGCACCCACGCTCACCTCCAATCCCATTCCTATGCCTGTACTCCTTGCCTTTGGGTTATTCTAACTCTGCAGCCATGTAATGCCATGACAACAGGCACTGCTGATTTTAACTTACAAGCACTCTCCCCAAATCTCCCACCCCCCACTGCTGAAAGAGATTAGCTTCTCTGTTAATTTGGTAATCCAGCCAGTGTACCAGGAGGAAAAAGCCACTAACTCAGTGCTTCAGAAGCACACTCCCTCCCGGTGGTCTTCACTACCACCAGCCCAGTACAAAGAGCCAGTGCCTTTTACCTTCCCCATTTTTCCAACTGCATTTTAACCAGACTTTCAAATGGCGCCGCTGAATCTGTATTTCAAGACCTGGTTGGGGGAGTTATTTCCCCCTCCAAAGAGACTTGTTTTCCACCTCCCAGAAGTGGCTGATCTGCAGAGTGGAGGTGATTCAGCTTTCCTAGAAGATCATATGCAGGGGAAAATACAGTACTACAGCTGAGAGTGCTGCTTGCTTCCCAAGATTAAAAAAAAAAATCCTGCTCTCAGACACATGGAATTCCCATTGAGGAGGTCTGACCAACACCAGGCGCTGAGTTTCTCTCATTAAACGCAAAGCTCAGGATGAAAGACGCGGGGGCAGGGGAAGGAATGGCCAATACCTTTGCAGCCCTCTGGAGGATTTGAACTCTGGCTCCGAAGGTTAAATGGCTGATGTCCACAGCCCCCTCTCTCTGCTGCTCCATCTCTCTTCCCCAAGATCCTTCCTAACAAAGAATGCTCTCTCTGGTGCACACAATTAAGCCCCGGTGGATTTACCCAGATTAGAGAATCCCTTGAAGTCTGTCACAACTAAACTCCTCAAGAGAAACACTTGTTGATGTCTCCCCGGGCTTTGTGCGGTGGTGGGGAAACCAGGCCCCGCTGGAAAACCTGCCCCTGACTTGCCGGGCCCCACATGGCACCAGGCACCACACCCACCCTGACCTCACAGAGCACCAACCCACCACAAGTACCTCTGGGAGCCCCTGCCCCATTTAGCTTCTCCACTTCAAGCCGGGCCCAGCCTCCCACAGCAAGGCGGCCAACCCCGCAGCTTCCCAGACTGGGAGAGACCCTGGCCAAGTGCCAGCCTTCCCCTCGCTACGCCCCCCGCCATTTAACCCTCCACCCCTCTGAGTTCAGCCTCTCGTCTTCATGCTTTAAAGTTTTCCAGGCGCCTTTTCAGGCGGTTTTCCTTTACACAACCGGCCCTAAGAAATCATGCATAAAGATTTCCCTCTACAGGTGGTTGTGAGCTGTAGCAGTTTTTGCTTTTGCAATAGAAACATGTTTGGTTTTTTTTTTTTTAATTTCATTTTATTTTACCCTCGAAAAGGTTTTTTAAAAAAATGATCTTGCTTGCACCAAGGACCTAGCATTTTCTTCAAATAGTGGCTAGAGAGATTAAATTCTCTATGCAAGAAATGTTACCACTACCATCACCACCACTGTGCCCTGACTCTTTTTTTCTCCCCATGCTCTCCCACTTTGCTCTGACTTCATGAAGCCTTTCGGAACTAAATTTTCATGTCCAAAATAATTACAAGAATGAAGACACTTAGTGAATGAGAATCAATCCAAAATATGACAAAGTGGGAGAAGACTTGCCCACTGTAGAATCCCCTTCTACCTTCCCAACCCACCCACCACAAAATATTAGCGTGGGGGGAGGCAAGACAGCATCCGCACCCCAGTTTAACACCACAGGATTGTCTTCCAACCAGCATGCTTCCTGCAAAAACCATGTACACACACACACACACACAACAACAACAACAACAACCCCAGAAAGTCTAGGCAGTTTGTACAACTGTAATTGTTCAATGAAAAACACAATAATCATGGCCAGTCATACACATCTACTCCTCCAAACATCCACCAACTGACATCATAAACTTTGCAAAAGCCAAACACAAGGCAGTGCATGGATAACCTACCTTGGTGAGCTCCTTCACTTTTTGTGCAAATGTTTTCCCCTCCGCATGCTTTACATAGATTTCTAGGGAAATTTGGAAGGACTGGTGAGGGGGTGGGAGAGGTGAGGGAATGAGGGTAATATAAATAAGGAGGCATTTTAAATGCACCACGCAAAAAGCTCGGGATTTCACGTTATGTGTCTTCACTCTTCCCGGAGCAAAGCAAAACAGTTTGCGTTCAGTGGTGCCAGACTTGGAGGGAGAGGGAGGAGAGAGAGGGAGAACGGGTGGGGGAGAGAAGGAGGGAGGGGAGGGAGGGGGAGAGAAAGAAAGAGGGAGGAGGAGGCTGAAGGAGAAAGGAGAAGAGAAAGAGGAAATGAGAGAGGAACAGAGGGAGAAGATAGGGGAGATGAGCGGAGAGGGAGGGGGAGAGAGGGAAGAGAAGAAAGGAGGGGGAGAGCCAGAGGAAAGCAGAGAAGAGGCAGCCCCCTCCCACGCTCCAACCCCCACACATTCAGGCACCTCCTGAGTAACTGATCAGAACAGAGAACTCATCACCCACGTTCGAAAACCCGGTTTGGGGACCGAGTTTCAACGCACACACTCTCGGGGTCTATTTATAGACAGACCCTAATAATATGCATTGCATTCTGAACGTAAATGTGTGTGTGCAGATTACATACGGCTCCTTTGACAGGTATGATTCTTTTTTTCCACTGCAGTGCGTCTAATTTTATCTGTTTGGATTTTCTTCTTTCTCTTTTTGCATCAGGAAAACATGCATCAATTTTGAAGGTGTTTGGGAAAAATGGTGGGGGTCTCAATGCTTACAAAGCCCTGGCTTTTTCCCCCTGCAAAGCTGGGATATTTGCAGAGTTGGGGCTGTTTGAAAAGGCTCCAGCTCTGGCTCAGTGTAGCACGCCCAGTTCCAGCAGTGTGTGCTATTGACCTGCATTGACGTCAGTGCGTCATTAGGTCTCCCTTAGAAACACTGACTTTCAAAAATAGTATCAAATTAATTCAGTTGGTGCCTGGTGAAGAAAGGCTACTAGCTGAAATCAGCCATAAAACTCGAGAATTTTCAGCCCTAGATTTCTTTTTCTAGGAGCCAAATAGAAATCAGATTGTATGGAAAATGCCATTGATGAGATTTTTTTTCCCCTTAAGAAAAGGGACCAAATTAGACTGCAAAACCCAGAACTGCTTCTTCCCCACCTCCCTTTTTTTTTCTGATCTAAAAATAACCCCTTGCTCAAGCTGACTGCAGTATCTTTTGTGTTGCAGCTCTGTTTTTAGCAGTGTGGTTCTGGTTAAGGGTGGAACCAAGTACAGACATTGATCTACTGATATCTGCAAAGCTAGGAATTAATTTTAATAAAATGGGTGTGCCTTATTGTGGTGGTGGGTAATAAAGAAGAAGGGCCACCATGGGAGAGATTTATGCCATTCACACTTTTCCGTTTTATTTTTTCCAATTCATCTTTTCAAGATATAATTCCCACCCCATGTCTCACGTGGCCTCTGACCAGCACATGCAACCCCCATTCATACAAACACAAAGCCCTGTGCATTCACACTTAGCAGAGGCGGTACATTCATAAGCAAAAGTTCTGGGGTGTTCCTTCCTCTCATGGCTACTTGGCATAAAAGGTATAGCAGCCCACCACAACAGGATTAGGTTTAATCTGGGGGATTTAAATATACAATCTGATAATTAGGTTGTATTATTAAAATCTGTATTTTTAAAAAACAAATGACCATAACTGCTCCTTCATGCAGCTAACAATAGTTTTAATTGGTCTACTTTACCACCACACATTTTTATACAGACCTATGAATTATATATGTAAAGATAAGATAGTGCCTCCCCACCCCCCACCCCACACACTGTGGAAGTAAGGTGAGTGACATGCACCTCTCTCAAAGCTTTTGGTTGGGGGGGGATATATATTAAATTTTTCTATTTTCAGAGAAGGAAGTTCACAGTAGTTTTATATAGTCTTCATTTCCCACATTTCTTGCTTCCCAACCCTCTCTCCCTGACCCACTCTCCGATGCACAGCACTTGTGCCTCTGGGTGATAAAAGCATTTGGTTTCTCTGACCCTTTCAGTCTTTAGCCTCTGCCAAGACTGTTAATGAGGGGACTAATGAGGGCCATTGTGCCCAAGGGCCTTCTGAGGAGGCCACTTGGATAACAGGGGATGTAAGGGACACTGGGTGGAGGAGGAGGAGAGCCCGAGATGCATTTGAATCATACGACTTAAAATTAAGCAGGTATTCAATTTCTTTTTGAAACACCCATGAAGTCAGGTTTCCAATTCATAATTACCCCCATCATTTGTGCTTATCACTACTTCTTAAAAGAATGAGGCCCTTCCTTTCAATCCCTGAGATCTAGTTGAGGGAAAGCGGGGTAAGATCTTGTCATCTCTACATTGATCTCAATACATAATTCTTCATGTCAGGCTAGCAGTTTAGGGGAGTGGAGGTCAGAGAAAATCACATCTCAGATACTGCCCATCTGCCCCTTGCTCAGCCCCAAGGAGGGGCATTGAGGGTGAGTCAGGAGGCTATGGGGCTAGAGTTCATCTAAGGATAATTTCTGGTGCTTAGTGGAACCTCAGCTAATGATAGACTGATCACATGGTTTCCCTTGTCTTGCCCCCCCACCTTTCTTCTCTGAGGGCTCAGGGAGGACAAGGCAATTATTAATGGTTCAAGCTGCCACCACAGCAGCAGCAAAAGGGAAGTGCTATGAGAAAACCACGTGTCCCCCTCTCCACCACACTTATGGACTTTGGTAAAGACATGATCATTGGATGCTTCCAGCCAGCCAGACACCTGCAAACCACTACTCCAGCTTGCAAGGTCTTACATACACCCCTCATCATAAATGCATCATTCACAGAAACTTACAGTCATTCATGCACCTGCACAACTACATTCATTCATATTTTAGCTGCAACTGCAGCCATGAATTCAAAGGCTGGGCAAGTGTGCACAGTAGGAACATGCCCTTAGAAGGCCGCATTCTACTCCTCCCCTCTTACACACACACTCTCTCTCACTGTTTGTCTCCCTTCCTTCCCCCAGGGGGTTTCAGCTCTAAAGTGTGCAAAATCCCGACAGGAATAAATTTCTGCAATTCAGACAGTTGAATCCCCAGCCTGTTAAAGACCCACTGACCTTGTCCATGATTAGATGATGGATGAGATGCCCAACTGCTGGCAGAGTTGCAAATGCCTACATGGAAAAGGGGGGCCAGTTCTTTTCCTGGCCTGGTTTCCCTCCCTTGGCAGCCCAGTGAATAAAGAGAGAGCCAAGGGAGGGGCTTGCAATGTGGTCCAAGGCTGCATAATACCCTACTTGGCCCGTTCAGATTTTGTCCTTTGAGGAGAGGTAGGAGTTGTGGAGAGCTGTCAAATACTGCTAAAGTCAAGACTTGGCATTCCAAGGCCTTGGTAATTCTTGTTGGTCTGCACACCAATGATAGGAGCTGGGGATTCTCCATTTGCTCCTCATAGCTACTCTGTGTTCTCTCCACTCTGTTACGTTTCCCTGGAGGTTGACCACTGTAGACTGCATTAACAGACTCTGTCGATTCTGGTTTCAGCCAGTGAGGATCCCTGGAGGAGCTGGGAAACTGAGGACAAGAGGAGGGCACATTAAGGTACTGAGTCCCCCAACTCCCTCCCTGCCAGGCTATCATTGTCTGTGGCTGTGTGTCTCTATACAAAAAGCCACTGCTCCTTCTTGAACAGCTACACTCACAGTTCTGAATTGTGTGTGTGTGTATGACTGCATCTAGACCAGGAATTCACAAGCTCTCCAGGTGTGCAGAACTGTTCAGCAGGACAAAGTCCCCAAAACCACATACCTCAGTGGTTCCCACGGGCTGCCTGCTGCCTAACAGTCTCCCATCAGAATGCCAGGCAAGTAGTTTTTGTCTTATATACCTAAAACAAGGTGAGCTTTTTCAATTAAGTACATGAAATTGAAGAACAGATGCTGCTGGAGATACTACAGAGTAGTGGGTAAGGAGATCTCTGAAGGTGGACCATCAGCTTAGCTGTTTACGAGCTTTTGATCATGGGCAAGTTACTTAATTTCTCTAAGCCTTTGTTTCCTCACTGTAAAATGGAGATGATGATAATGATAGCACCCTACTCTTAGAATGGTTATAAGACCTATGATCAGATAACACATGTGAAAGTGTGTAACACTGTGCCTGAAACAGAGTTAACCCACAATAAATGTTAGCTATCTAGCTATTAGGAGTATGATCATGTGTTCTACAGGTGGCCACCTGTGGAGCATGGCAAACTCTAAGATTTTTGAATCATGGTCAACAATAAGACATTCATTTTATATCATGACCTAAAGATACACACACACACACACACACACACACACACACACACACACACGAAGACAGTAACAGTCTCACAACTTGCAATGCACCTCCATATTGTATTAAAAAAAAATGAAGGTCACAACCAGAATAAGTAAAGAACATCTGCTGATGTTTTCTAAACAGGTGTAGTCACATTAATGGGGAAAAAATCAGGAGATATTCTCTACAGAATCTGAAATTCACTCAATGAAACTTTGAGTGTACTTGTATGTAAGAAACTAGGAGTTGCGGAAGAGGGCCGAAATGTATAAAACATGGTGCTTTCCCTTAAGGAGTTTATGGCTGACTCAGTGAAGATTCATTCACTCAGTTTCATCTAACAAGCTGAGCACTACTGTGTGTTGAGGAAATACTGTTCTGCATCAGGGAACAAGAGAAGATCCTGTCCTCATGATGCTTACCTTCTCATGATAAAAGGAAAGGTAAGGACATGGAAAGTGACTGGTAGGAAGGCCTACTCTAGATATATTAGGGAACACTTCTCTTAAGTATTTGGCCATGGCACATTCCTGGCCAAATACCCAGACACAGGGAGTGAAGGAGGGAGCCATCTAAATTCTAAGAGAAATACACTCCATTAATAGGGGCCAACAAGAGCAAAGGTTCTGAGGCAGAAATGGAATATTCCCCAAACAGGAAGAAAGCTCAGGTGGCTAGAGCTTGGTGAGCACGTGAGGGGTAGATGGAGCCGAATGATGCAGGGTCCTGTGAGTTCTGGTAGATCTTGGATTACACCTGAATGTCACGGGAAACCACTGTAGGGTTTTCTACAGGAGAGTGACACAATCTATGTTGTAAAAGCATCATTCTGGCGGCTCAATGGAGACCTGATGGAAAACGGCAAGAGGGAAGCAATGCGGCTGGTCAGGAG